GATTCTACTAATTTGGGTTTTTTCTCTCCTCATTTTAGTCAGGTTTGCCAGGGGTCTATCGATCTTGTTTATTTTTTCAAAGAACCAACTTTTTTTTCATTAATTCTTTGTATGGTTTTTTTGGTTTCTATTTCGTTGATTTCAGCTCTTATTTTTATTATTTCTCTCCTTCTATTTGTTTTGGGATTTGCTTGTTCTTGTTTTTCTAGGAGTTTGAGATGTATCATTAGGTCATTGATTTGGGATCTTTCAATCTTTTTAATATATGCACTCATGGCTATAAACTTTCCTCTCAGGACTGCCTTAGCTGTGTCCCATAGGTTCCGGTAGGTTGTGTTTTCATTTTCATTGACTTCCAGGAACTTTTTAATTTCCTCTTTTATTTCATCGATGATCCATTCTTCATTAAGTAATGAGTTATTTAGTTTCCAGCTGTTTGCATGTTTTTGTCTTTACTTTTGTTGTTGAGTTCTACTTTTACTGCATTGTGGTCAGATAGTATGCATGGTATTATTTCTATTTTCTTATATTTGCTGAGGCTTGCTTTGTGCCCTAGGATATGATCTATTTTGGAGAAGGTTCCATGGGCTGCTGAGAAGAATGTATATTGTGTAGAAGTTGGATGAAATGTTCTGTAGACATCAACTAGGTCCATTTGATCTATTGCATATTTTAGATCTTGGATTTCTTTATTGATTTTTTGTTTGGATGACCTATCTATTGATGATAATGGGGTGTTAAAGTCTCCCACAACCACTGTGTTGGCGTTTATATATGCTTTTAGGTCTTTCAGGGTATGTTTGATGAAATTGGGTGCGTTGACATTGGGTGCATACAGGTTGATAATTATTATTTCCTTTTGGTCTATTTCCCCTTTTATTAGTATGGAATGTCCTTCTTTATCTCGTTTGATCAATGTAGGTTTGAAGTCTACTTTGTCAGAGATAAGTATTGCTACTCCTGCCTGTTTTCGGGGCCATTGGCTTGGTAAATCTTCTTCCAGCCTTTCATCCTAAGCCTATGCTTATTTCTGTCAGTGAGATGGGTCTCCTGTAAGCAACAAATTGTTGGATCTTCCTTTTTAATCCATTTCATTAAGCGGTGCCTTTTGATGGGTGAATTAAGTCCGTTAACATTAAGCGTTAGTACTGATAGGTATGTGGTGATTCCTGTCATTTAGTTGTCTTAGTTGTTTGAAGGTTTGATTGTGTGTACCTAAGTTGAGGTTACTCTCTACTGTCTTGCTTTTTCTTTTCCTGTGGTTTGGTGCTGCCTGTCTTTTCATGGTTAAGTTGGGTTCACTTTCTGTGTGCAGAATCCCTTGAAGAATCTTTGTAGTGGTGGCTTTGTGGTCACATATTGTTTTAGTTTCTGCTTATCATGGAAGACTTTTATTGCTCCATCTATTTTGAATGATAGTTTTGCTGGGTAGAGTATCCTGGGGTTGAAGTTATTTTCATTCAGTGCCCGGAAGATCTCACCCCACTCTTCTTGCTTTTAATGTTTCTGTTGAGAAGTCTGCTGTGATTTTGATGGGTTTACCTTTGTATGTTACTTGTTTTTTCTCTCTTACAGCCTTCAATATTCTTTCCTTAGTTTCTGAACTTGTTGTTTTAATGATGATATGTGTGGGGTAGTTCTATTTTGATCTGGTCTGTTTGGTGTCCTGGAGGCCTCTTGCATCTGTATGGGAATATCTTTCTCTAGATTTGGGAAATTTTCCGTTATTATTTTGTTAAATATATTACGCATTCCCTTCGCTTGCACCTCTTCTCCTTCTTCGATGCCCATGATTCTCAAGTTTGGTCTTTTGATGGAGTCTGAGTTCTTGCATTTTCTTTTCACAGGTCTTGAGTTGTTTAATTAATAGTTCTTCGGTTTTTCCTTTAATTACCATTTCATCTTCAAGTTCTGAGATTCTGTCTTCTGTTTGTTCTATTCTGCTGGATTGGCCTTCCGTTTTGTTTTGCAGTTCTGTTTCGTTCTTTTTTCTGAGGTTTTCCATATCCTGGCTGTTTCCTCTTTAATGTTGTCTATTTTTGTCCTGAGTTCATTTATCTGTTTATTCATCGTGTTCTCTCTTTCACTTTGGTGTTTATACAGTGCTTCTATGGTTTCCTTTATTTCTTCTTTTGCTTTTTCAAATTCTCTATTTTTGTTGTCTTGGAATTTCTTGAGTGTCTCCTGTACATTTTGGTTGACCCTATCCAGTATCATCTCTATAAAATTCTCATTGAGTACCTGTAGTATGTCTTCTTTTAAATTATTCTTGTGGGCTTCATTGGGTCCTTTGGCATAGTTTATCTTCATTTTGTTGGAGTCTGGATCTGAGTACTGTTTTCTTCATTCCCCTCTGGTTCCTGTACTAATTTTTTGCTGTGGGGAAACTGGTTTCCCTGTTTTTTCTGTCTTCCTGTCATTGTCTTTGGTGTTGTTACTGTCCCTGTACTGTGTGCAATTAAGTATTTTCTAGCTTGTAATAATAACAATGGTAATATTTAGAATGGAAGGGTGAGCTGAGATGGAAAGCAAGAAGTTAAAGAAATGGGAAAAACAAATACACAGACTGGAAGGAGAAAACAGAACAAGGTGTCAGACAAGAAGATTTCAAAGGTATAAACAGGGAGCTTTAGTGTACTAATCGACAGTAAGCTGAACAGACATTAAAGAGACAGAGATAGGATTGAAAATCAAAAATAAAAAAAGTAAAGGTAAGAATAAAAATAAAAAATAAGTAAATGAAAAAAAAATCTATTTATAAAAATGTACTAAAATAAAATGAAAAAATAGAAAATTTTAAAAAACCAAAAAACCAAAAAAAGCAAAAAACCTCCAAGTTCAAATGCAGTGAAGTTTCAGTCTCCAGTCCTGGAGATGGTGCCCCAGATGTTGTTCTGTAGTTGTCTCATCAAAGGGGACGCATAAAGAAGAACAAAAGTACACACACACACGAACAAAAAAAAAACCCCACCAAGTGTCCTAAGTTCAAATGCAATACAGATTCAGTAAGTTTTTCAGCTTGCAGGTGTAATTCGGTTGTTCTCTCATCAAAGGTAGGGTGACAAAGAAAAAAAAAAGAGTCTGGAGACAGTTCTGAGAATGGTTTTTGCAACTGTGGCTTGCCTGCCTGCTGCTGTCAGCCTGCTGTTGCTGGAGGCGTTATTTATGCAGATCTCTGGGGTGAGCTTAGCATACACCTGGCCCCGCAGGCTTTGTTTGCTCAGATTTCTCCTGTGCGGGAGCCTCTGCTACAAGCTTTCCCCTTTCCAAGCACTGGGAAAGGTGACTCTGCACCCGCATTCTCAGGCCTGCGTGTTTATTTACAGTTCATGTGGGAGGTGGGTCTTCCCCCGCTCCTGTGCAGTTTTCCTCCCACCTCCACTTTCACAAGCTTTCCTGCTCCTGATTACTGGGCGGTGCTGCTGATCCTGCCAGCGCCATGTTTGTTTACAGCTCATGTGGGAAGTGGGTCTTCCCTCCTCTCCTGTGGAGTTTTCCTCCCTCTGCCACTCTCACCAGCTTTCCTGCTTCTGGTTGCTGGGCGCTTGCCCCCGCTCCCTCCAGAGGCTCTCCGGCCTGCTCGGCTTGTTTATTTACAGTCCTGGGAAGGATTCCCTTCCCCCAATCTTCGGCGCTCATTGCGCCCCACCCTCTTTCTTGCGTGTCTTATTTGTTCTTATTGCTTATTACTCAGTTTCTCTTTTTTACCCGGGTGGAGGTCAGTCTTTCCAGGGGGCTATGCTGCTCTGGCCCAGGCTTGTCTGTGGGAGTACCGCGAAGCTCACCTGCTCCGCGTCTTCCCATGCCGTCTGGGCGCCAGCGACTGGCGGCCCGGGGCCCTCCTTGTTTCTCCCGATCCTTCTTTTCTTGAAGGCCCTTTGGTTCTTTTAGAAGATAATTCTCAGTGTATTTGTTTATATAGTGTCCTTAAGTAAAACCTAGCAAAATGTGACAATTTTGTAATTAATCTCTCTTCTATAAAACACTCTCCCTAGGTAAGTTTTTTTTTTTTTAATCTCTGGATGTTAAGTAGCATCCAGCCTTAGTCTTGATCTCTCTTTAGAGAACCACTGAGTACTGGAGTTTCCTGTGGGGGCAGTCCTGCTGATTACTCCCCATCAAGCTATCACTTCCCTGTATTGATCTGCAGAGTGAGGGCGCATAACTCCTGGGCCCACCCTTTATTTCACAGATGTGGAAACAGTCCAGGAAGAAGAAGGTGGCTTTTCCAGAGTCTGCATGACTAGTTAGTGCCCACAGCCTGCACCAGACACTTTTCTGTTCATAGCCTGAGGTCTTTCTTTCTTCTCCATTACATTATCTACCCAAGATAGTATATGTGACCACTACATTTGCATTTGGAGCGTTTGCATTCAGTCAGTCTTGTCAAGATGGCTAGCTTTTCATCGTAATTTCCCTTTTCATCTTTGTGTATTGAGTGTTCTGTAAAATGTTGCATCTTGGAAAGGGGCACACTATCTTCACAGTGACAGAAAGCTGCAGGTTTGTTTTGTGCTATTTCAGGATATGCATTCATAATCCAAGTAGGGGGTGGAGTCTTACAAGGAACTGCATATTCCAGGTTGAGGCAGGAGGATTGTGAGTTCAAGGCCAGTCTGAGCTGTGATCAAGTTTGAGGCCAGCCTGGTCTGTACAGCAAAAACATCTTACAACAGAACAGATGTGTACACTTTATGGGACTGCAGCAGTGCCTTGAAGAATGAAGTGCATCATGAGACGCCACGTGGCACGACTTAATGCTTAGGCTTAGAGATAGGGCCAGGCTTTACTGAAGCTGCCTTTGCACATTTCTGGATGATTTGACTATAAAACTAGTTACAAAAGAAAATTTGTAAATGCTGTATTGAAGTATATTTTTTGTTACTAATTTGTTTAAGGAAATCTGTATTAAGCTTAATAGAGATTTTGAAAAACGAAGACTTCATTTATTGGTTTTGTATTTTACTACATTCTTGATGTGCTTTTGTTCTTGGATTTAGGTAAAATATCTATTTTCTGACAAGACTGGCACTCTTACATGCAATATCATGAACTTCAAGAAGTGCAGCATTGCTGGGGTAACCTATGGGTAAGAGTGCTTCTGGAAGTTTCACTGATACCCTTCCAACAAAATTAATTCATTTTCAGTTATTTCACCAAGTTATCTTGACTTCCTGATATTTGTAGTGGATTTAGGTATGCAGTTGCTGTTAAATGTATAAAACTTAGTGGGTCCCAAGTAAACCTTCGAGTAGTTAAAATATGACTTATTTTCTACAAATACTAGTAAGAAATTGCTGGGTGCCTATAGATTGGTGTATTAAGTTTAATAGTTATTGATTTCCTCCTGTGTTTTCGTCTGAATGAGTATCTTCTGATACAGTTTGGTGACCTCTATATTTTCCCTCTCTCTGGCAGTCACTTCCCAGAACTGACAAGAGAGCCGTCCTCAGATGATTTCTCGTGAGTAGACACTAGACACCTCTTGACACTCTGTGGAAGGGGCTTCAGAATTTTATGTTACCATTTCTCATCGTGACTATCTGAATATGTAAATATAAGTTACATATATTTTATTTCGAAGAAAGTCAGAATAAGATTTAAACATGAAGTGGTTTATAAGGTCATACTGCAAAGCTTTCTAACAGAGATAGCCTGGCCTGGTCCAGTGCTTCCTGGAAGCAGCTGACTTCAACTTTTTGACTTTTTTTTTTTTTTATTCCTACATTTCAAAGTAATATGTTTGAACTAAGTTCCAAAAAGTTGTAGCCATTGTTGGAGCACTGGGAGATTCTGCACCCACTCCTCTGGGTGTGGCGTGTCTCTCCCTGTCCATCTTTCCCTGGCCTTTGGAAGCACTTAACATCTTCTGTAGTTTTTAGCACATAAAATTTCAACCATGGGATATGGTTATTTTTTTCTTTATTATGTTGGGCATTTATTTAATGGACTTACTACTGGTCCACATCTGTCTAATATATTTTCTCTTATTAATGTTTCATAAGTGTCCTTGTATGATTTCCATGATGACTGTCCTCTCCCCCAACCTCCCTCCCTGTTCCCACTGGATCTCTGTTAAGGCAGATATTCAACCTTTGAGTTGATTCTCCAGTTCTGTTGTCCTTCTCTCCTGTTTCCCACATATTTTTATTTTCTGATACTTTTCAACCTTCTATTCCTTCATAACAGTTGTCACATGCTCTGACTTTGTTTTCAAAGGCATTGTTTGTCCTTTCCCTTCCAATGTCCATATCCTCTGTTCTCCTCTTCTGTGCCCAACCCCCACGCCATCTCCTGGTGTTTTGATTTCTTAATTCTGTTTTATAGACTTTACTCAAAACTTGGTGATCATTGGCTGTGTGCTCATATAAGTTTTTAAATTATATTTCATTGTAGTGAATTTTCAAAATATAAAATTGACCATTTTAACCACTTTAAGATCTTTTTAAAAGTAGTTTTGGTGTCACAATGCAATTAAGAAGGCACAGAGATTTCCCATATCATTCCAGCTCCTCCCTTAAGCACTTACTCCATTATGAAAATCCCTGAATAAAGTGGCACATTTGGTACAACTGATAAAGCAACACTGACATCTCATGACCACCCAGAGCCCATTCTTTGCAGGTGCTATATATTCTGTGGGTTTGGACAAATGTATAATGGTATAATGACATGTATCTACCATTACAGTACCTAATAGTCCTCTGCTCTGCCTATTCAACTCCCAGCCCCCAACCCCTGGCAACCACTGATGTTTTTACTGTATCTATAGATTTACCTTTTCCATAATGTCATAGTTGGAATTCTGTAGGACACAGCCTGTTTAGACTGATTTCTTTCACTTAGTGGTACACATGTATATCCATGGCTTGATAGCCTAATTCTTTTGAGTGCTAAATAATCCAGGTCCAGGACTACTCTGGTTTAACCTCTCTGAAAGATGAGCCTTACATTTCTTTCTGGTTGAGTTATCTGGCTGCATGGGAGGAGGGAGTGTTCTTTGCAGGTTGAGTATTCAAGTGGACTTGGAACCTTTCCTGTCTTCTATCTTCCCTGTACTTCACAGGCACCTCCTGTGTGAAGAATCATTACCATTTCTTCAGCCTTCACAGGGCTTTGTGGGCTATCTCAGCCAACACTTTATGTGCTCCCCGTGGCCAGCTGTTGGTTGCTATTTTCTCTGCTGTCTTAAATTCTGATGTTTATTCAGACCCAGGACTGACATCAACTAATTGCTATCTCTTCATTGTCACTGTCTTAAAGAAAGGGTTTCAGGAGGGTGTAGAGATAAATGAATATACTAATCCTTTACATTTGCTTCAGTGTGACAGAACACACATGGAGTTTTGTTTCTGTAACTATTTGCCTTTTCTTTCATATATCTGAGCTCTAGCCATAAATGACTGCACATCTATAATGCATCCATTCCTCTTGTTTTGTCTCCTCTGAGCAGATACTCTTGGAAATTTTTCCTGGTAGAAGTTATGCAAGTATCAGCTGAAATGAGTCATAGTTATCTGTTTCTTTCCTCTGTAACTATGTTGTTATTTCTAATAAGGTCTAAAACATTTTACTTATGGTAAGGTTAAGGGTTTACTGTCTTTCGGTTTAAAATAATTTATAGTATTCCAAATCCTTAAAAGTTAAACATAAGCTTATGGACTTTTTATGTGTGGTTCTTCTTGAGGGCAGATTCTTAATAGGTTTGAGTTATCTTAACAGGAACTTTTGAATTGAATTAATAGCTTCTGTTCTCTCTTACAGTCGGATGCCTCCTTCCCTTAGTGACTCTGTGATTTTAATGATCCAAGGCTGTTGAAGAACATTGAGGATCAACATGTGAGTCTACCATTTTACTTGTAAAACATCAAATAGTGTATGGCTCAATAGTATTTATGTAATCAATGTGCAGTATGTTGAAAGTTGCAATTTGGAGTCTGGGAAGAGATGCAGTCTCAATTTTATGGTTTGGTACTTCAGGAGATTGATCTTGAACAAATGTTTTGTGGTGAACACTGTTAAAGCTGAATTTAAATATGTAGTGAACTTATAAAGGAACAGACCAAGATCAAGAGACATGGGACTCTGAGGCACGGAAGCAACTCTTTATTGTGCTGGCACAGACTCAGCGGACTCATGTCCAAAGGCTGAGCCCTGATAACAAAGGGGCTCACCTTATGTACCCTTGCAATTAGGCTGCAGAGACAATAAAATTGAAAAACAAGGTTTAACCCATGTATAGTTCCATGCAGTTCTATAGGCTACTTCAGCCTAGTTCTAGTGCCCTTCTACTCCTAGTACTACGAGACGTTCTGCATGTTTGGATTCCTTAGGTTTTATCTCTTTATTATGCCATCCCTTCTCCCCTGCTACTTTATCACCACAGGTCTGTCTGTTTCTCTTTAGTCCTTCTCCCTGCTACATTATTCTCTCCTTTGATGCTCAGACCCACTTAAGGTCAAAGAGTATCATCTTGATTTAGGGGTTTATGTTTTCATAGCATCAATACATGGAAGGCTGTTTTTCTTTCTATTGTGACATTGATGAGGCTGGAGACAGATCTTACAATCAGGGGGCCAAGCAGGGCAAAAACAAGGCAGGCCCCTAAAATCAAAAGCCTAACAATTATGAGGGTTTTGAATTCCCCTCAAGTTGAAAACCGTCCTCCAAAATAAATCTCTGGGGTTCCAACCTTTCCAAGTCTAGACTGGGACATGGGTGATTTTTCTCTGTGATTTCTTCTATGACCTTCCTTTCATCATTAATCTGTAAGCAGCAGTTGCTTAGGTTAAATTTTTCACAAATTCCTCTCTCTGAAGCCAGCAAACAGTCTAAAGCCAAGCGGTTCTGATAGATGGCATTGCACATCTTAGTGCTTTGTTTTGCCAGCAAATCGAGAGCTCTTGCAGTTTCATTAGTTATAATTTCAACAGCCTGGAGCCTGATGATGCGGTTGAGCATAAATATAGGGGTGCCATAGCCCCAGGACCATAGTACTGGATGATTCACTCGGGAGGCCATTCATTATCTTTCTAGTTTGTAAGGCACCCCGTTTTTGTCTACTTAATTTTTCTTCATATATGGGGACTCCCAGTTTTTCACCTTGTCTAAGGGGAAGCAAGAAGAAGGATGGCCTGATCACGCCTGGTATGCAAGACCCAAACCAGCTGCTGGGTAGCACTGCAAAGGCTTGATTTCCACAGAGCCAGTATAGTCTCCTGGAACCCACCAATCTATTTTTGTGGTAAGATTGTCCCAAGCTTTCCAGAGATTAGGAAAGTTGGCCAGTGGGTTGGGGCCGTGTGGTTTGGAGCTCCCCACCATTGGGTTTCTTGGGTGGTGTCATTGTAAACTTCTGTCCTAAACAAGTTAAATCCCCTACTGGGGTAGAGATCCGGCCTTTTGGCAGGAAGATACAGTAATTCCCAATAATAGACGTTTTTAGGAGCCAGACACTTTCCCTGTGATTGGGGAAGGTGGTCTCATCAAAGGGCACCTGTGGGTCTAGCTCCCTTGCTTCCCATGGTCAGTGGTCTCCCATGTTTGTTCCCCCACAGACATAGCATGGAGTGACATTCAGTGTCTGGGCTATAGACTCAGCCAGTGAGAGGAACAAGTTTTTGGTTTTGGCAGATATAGGGGACTCACTTTTCATTTCCTCATAGAAAGAATAAAAGACTTGGTTAGTGATTGATAGTCACTAACTTGAGGTGCATTAGTCCCAGGATCATATCCCTTTCCATTTATCTTTACACCGACCTTATGTCCCTGTTCCCAATCTGAGGGCTTAAGTATAGTAAAAATTATAGGATCACAGTTGCCAAGTGTGCAGTTGGGTGTAGGTGTTCCCTTGAGGACAGCTGAGTATCCCACTGTCTGCCAAATAGCCCATGAGAAACAACTCCAGTAAGTGAAATAATGCCAACCTGCACCACGTGGGTCCAGGCACATGTATTTACCATTTAACAGATAGGCTGTCTCCCAGGCTGGGCCTCCACATCCCGCTATGGCTGCACATACATGAAAAACACTGACATGGGTTTATCAGGGTTGAATATCCGGGTACAGTTAATGAGGTCCTTAACTTCTCCCCTGATAGCGCCATCAGATCTCCAGACCTCCACCCACTGTTCCCCAGGGCTGTAGGTGGGGTTGAAACAGACATGCTGATCACCATGGGAACACACTGAGCAGATGGTACGGTTGTGAGCACATGACCCGATGATGGTGCCTGCACAGGAGTAGTAAGTATGGAAAAGCAAAGTCCTGGTGACAACACTTCCTGCCTGAGTAGTATGCATACATAGGTCACAGGATGAGGGCTCTGGGACTACGAAAAGAAACCATATCAGTAACAATAAACAGTAATTATGCATCCTGCCCAAAAGAGGTAGAAGAGAGCTAATAAAAACTTTTCACTGAGAGTCCAGTCAGCAGGGGCGGTTTCTGCCAAGCCTATGGCGAAGACTAGGGTGAGAACTACAGCAATGGATTCAGATAAGGGGTGACCAATGCATTACAGAAAATTACTGACATAGAAACAGTTCGTCTATCCTATTAGACAGTTTATTTCTCACACTTCTGCCATGCATAGACTAGTCAGCTTCTGGAGTGACTAGAGCAGGGCTGTCATCTTGTTGTTTGTGGTCCCCTGTTGTTTTCTGGGAAGCAGAATCCTGCCAAGGGAGGGTGCTGATGTTCGGAGAGTGATCCTACACAGTGAAGCCGGATCAGGGATGCACTCCTATTTGAGAGAAGCTGGTTTGACTCTGCTGTAGTAGATCCAAGGAGCTATCTCTGCTACTTTGACTGCAGTAGGGGTAGAGAAAATAACAACAAAAGGTCCTCTCCAATGAAGCTTTAATGGTTGCACATTTCATTCTTTTACCCAGAGGGCATCCCCTGGCCTGTAAGGGTGTGTAGGAGTTGTCAGGCTGACAGGAAGTCTCTCCCAAATCCAGTCATTGATCTTTGAGAGAGTCAACCTGAGGGCCTGTATCTGTTGCCTCAAGGTGAGGTCATCTATTTCCTTAAGGTCCCCCTTATGCCCTTGATTAAGGGGGATGGGCATCCATAAAGGACTTCAAAGGGTGAGAACCCTGTCTGCTTCATGGGACTAGACCTAATCCTTAGTACTGCTATGGGCAGTAATTGATCCCACTGCAGATGGGTCTCCTGACACAGTTTTCCTAACTGTGACTTTAGGGTTCTATTCATGCGCTGCACTTTTCCTGAACTCTGGGGGCAGTAGGCCATATGTAACTTCTAGGTAATTCTAGGCCCTTAGCCATCAGCTGTACCACCTCTGCCACAAAGGCTGGCCCATTATCTGACCCAATTGACACAGGTATTCCAAACCAAGGGATGATTTCCTTTAACAGACATCTGGCCTCCTCCCAGCCCTTTTCAGTTGGTGTGGGAAAGGCTTCCACCCATCCTGAGAAGGTACAAATACCAACAGTATTTGCATCCTTGAGCTTGTGGCATTTCAGTGAAGTCCACGATCAAGTTTTCAAGAGGAGTTCCACCAACACTCTGCACCTGGGGGTCTCATAGCCCTTGTCTGAGGTTATTTTTAATGTGTAGTGTACATCTCTCACATACTGTCTTACTTATGCTGGAGAACTTGGGGACATAAAAATGCTGAGCCAGGGTGGTCTCAAGGGCTGTTCACCCTGAATGAGTTCCTTCGTGGAACTGCTTGACAAATGTAGGAGCCAGTGACTCAGGTATGGTAATGCAGCCATCAGCAAACTTCCACCATCTATTTGGTAGAAAATTTCCCTCCTTAGTCTTAAACTAAGCCTGTTCTTGTGGTGTGTACCATGGGTCCCATTCAGCTAAGGGGCATAGGAACATGGCAGCTGTCAAAACAGTTGGGGCTGGTCCCCTCGTGAGGACCACTTATTTGGCCTCTTTGTCAGCTTTCCAGTTTCCCTGGTCAGTTTTGAATCTCCCTTCTTGTGCTCTCTCTTGTGTATAACTGCCACCTGTTTAGGGGCCCCTCAGTGTCTAGCAGTTCAAGGATTTCCTGCCCATACTTGATACTTTTTCTTCCCGAGTTAATGAGTCTCCTCTCTCTATATAAGGCCCCATGGACATGAATGGTTGTGAAGGCATATTTAGAGTCAGTGTAAATATTTACTTGTACTCCTGCAGTGAGCTGGCGTGTCTACGTGAGGGCGACAAGTTCAGCCTTTTGTGCAGAAGTCCCTATTGGCAGTGACTGAGCCTCAGTTACTGAGTTCAGAGTCACCATGGAATAACAGGCAAAGCCATCCCAGAAAAAGCTGCTGCTGTCAGTGAAATATTCAATGTCTGGATTGCTGATAGGCTCATCGGTTAGATCTGACTGGCTGGAGAAAACCTCATCCATAACCTCTAAGCAATTATTCTTGGGGGTGGGGGTGGGGGGGTGGAGTCAATTGGCAATAGAGTGGCTGGGTTTGGGGTCTTAACAACCTTCAGCTGGATGCATGGGTTTTCACATAGCATACTCTGGTATTTGACCATCTGAGAGTTAGTCAGCCAATAGTTTCCCTGAAGTGAGTTCTTGCACTAGGGTGAGCTTGTCTGCTTCTGTCACAAGGGCAGCAGTAGCTGCTAGGGCACATGGACATGGCAGCCACCCTCAGGAAATGACATCAAGTTGTTTTGGTAAGTAAGCCACCAGACGGTGCCAGGAGCCCAGTAACTGAGTTAGGACCCCAAAAGCTGTTTCCTTTCACTCATGGACATACAGGAAAAGGCTTCATCACATCTCATAGGTCTAGAGCAGGGGCATTGGTGAGTGCCTTCTTGATTTCTTTGAAGGCTTTTTCTCGCTCCCTCCCCCATAC